TTTTTTTATCTCTGCGTTGTTTGGTTTTTGAATATTATAATTTAAGGCTATTTTATGGTTATTTAAAAAAAATATACTTTTTTTTTTATGGTTATTTAAAAAATATAAGAGTACGGTTTAAAGACTTGATCTCCATTTATATTCGTAACAACATAGAAAACATACATGTTGACCTTAAGAATATAAAAGACTTGAGCAGAAAACTGATTTGAACTGCATTCTTATTAAACTTATTTTAAAATAAAAAAATAAATAATTTTAAGGTATTATTATTATTCTGTACCCTAACAGATAATAAGCAAATCAAATTTAAAAGAGGGCGAGGGATTGATTGTTACTATGTGACTACACGGGATATCAGCTAGTCGCGCATAGCCCAATAACGCAGTTCCACCCTTTTTTTTGCCTTTAAATCTTTAGGCTTTAGAAGCTGTAGAAGTGCATTACCAGCGCAGCTACAGTAAGTCAAGAGAACAAATGCCTTTGACTTGAAACAAATTTCAACAGATTTCCACTTTTCATATCGCCATTTTGTGCTCTCAACAAACACACACACTCAGACACACACACACATATAAGCGTGCGCACAGTTTGTCAACATGAAAAGGTTAACAAGGTAAATAACGCAAAAAGTGACAGCATGAAAGGAGAACTCGCAAAAAGAATGGCGACCAAGGACACAAAAGGCGCACACAAACAATGTTGCACACAATCAACAAAGGAGCAGGAATGAGGCATAAGCAACGTCGCAAAAGGTGGCAACTCTGGTGGAGGCTGAATCTCAGCCAAAGTAAGCGCGTTTGTGTGAATAACAACATTTTAAACATGTTTACTTTTTATTTTGTTGGCAGCGCTAACGCTTATGCAATTTATTTCTGCATGTAACTCCACTCTCAACTCCACTCACGCCCCAAACACGTTTACATGCCCAACAACTCGAACTCTAACTCCAACTCCGACGCCATCTTCGTCAGTTTCACCTTGTCTCTTGCGCCATTACAAAGCATGCCCCGCGGTCGGGCCAGGTATAATCTTTTGCTTGTCTTTCACTTTGGGAACGGAACAGCAGTTGGCCCTTCCTCTGGTTGCGGCAGGCACCAAAAATTTAGTTTTCCCTTATTTCAAAGTGCATTACAACTATGAAAATCAGGCAGGGATAAGCTGGAAAACTTATTACTACATATAAAAGTCATATCATTAAATTAACATATAATATTATACATTATAATGTTGTATAGAAATTATTCTTATTTTTATTTTTTATGTTAGAACTTATTGAATCGGCACTGTTACTTGTTCGGTAGGGTATGCCAAATTCGTTGTCTTATCTTTAACACTTGCGGCTGGTTATTTTTTATTTCAGCCCAAAAAGGTAAAAAGGCAAGCTAAAGAAGTTATCGGCCAGCCCATGGCGGTCAACGCTTTAGCATGAACATGAACTTTTGCATAGCTCTTTAGATAGATATTGTTTGATCGAGTCTAGAGTGCCCGACTTGCGGATACCCTTTAATGCTCCAAGCATACATTCTGGCTCTTTTTATTTGCATTTTTGTATAGGTTTGCAGAGAAGGAAGCTAGAAGGAATTTCCCACTAGAGGACTCCTACTTGTTGTTAGTGGCGTGTACAGGCAAAGGCAATGTCAGCATAGAACCTTTATTCTGTCTAGTACAGGGTATAACAAGTAAGAGTCTCTAGTCGGGAGCTCCCGACTAGGGAATACCCTGAACCCTCTTATTCCAACACGAAATAAATTTAAAACAAGTGGTTCTAGTCGGGAGCTCCCGACTAGGGGATACCCTGAACCCTCTTCTTCCAACATCAAATGCATATATATATTCTATTTTAGAAGCTATATGTCAAGTTTGGTGACTCTAGCACTTATTACTTACCAACATTGCCCAAAAAACAAGATATCGATATCAATTTTTATCGATTGCTTCGAAACGGAGTAAGTTATCGATTATTGGAGACAAACTCGATATGCGCGGGCACTAGGAGCACCTACATCTACGGACGGACGGGCGGACGGACAGACAGACGGACATGGCTAGATCGACTCGGCTATTGATGCTGAACAAGAATATATATACTTTATCGGGTCGGAGATGCTTCCTTCTGCTTGTTACATACATTTGGATTTTGCACAAACCTTACCTTAGACCCATTTTTAATAGGTTCACGGTATAAAAAGGAACTAGCTGAAATACTGTTAACTGCGTGCGCTCGACTTTTGGAGTTTGGCAGAAGTGGGCAGCCGGATGGATAACATTAAGCCAAGAGTAGTTGCCTACCAGCCACCACACCCCCAACCGAGTGAGTGGCAGGCACGCGTAGACTGCTTGCTTATGCAGCACAAGCTGCCACGCGTGACACATTGCTCTGGAGACTGCCGCACGTCGTCCAGTTGCCGATGACTACGCTGGTGGGGCAACTTGTCAATGCAGTCATCAATGTCGGCGTTGACGGCATTAGTGCCTGTAAGTATTTCATGCTTCTGCTACGTACGCACAACAAAACGACCCAACATGTTGCATGCCACAGTGTTTCTGTGCCAGTGACCAGCCGACAGAAACGCAAGGCAAGCGTTGCGCGTTTCCAGATCCAACTCAAATATTAATGAGCAAATGCTGCCAAACGTGAGCAACATTTTCCAAATATTGTGCGTTTTATTTTATTATAAAATTACGAGATCTGGCGTGGAAATATATAGTTGGTTTTAATTCAGAAGGCAATCCCTATTTGATTGAATTAAACCAAAATATTTAAATATACCATATCTTAAGAAGGAGATGTTCTTTGGTTTTCTTATCTACCATTTAATTTCATATGTGTAGCTGTCAATTGTGCACCTTGGTGTATGCGCAATTTGCTGATTATAATCAGCTAAAAAATATATTTATTTTGATTGCTCGACATTTTTGCCTAGTTTGATTTTGAACCTTTTGGCATCTGCAGCACGTTCTGTGCCGTGTGACATCCGCAAAAATTACAACCGAATAAAATAAAAGTTACCACCGCCGACAAAAGAGTCACGTGCAAAAACTTTCTTAATTTAAAAGAAATTTTCAAACAAACTCAATTAAATATTGTCAGGCACAGCTAAAGATGTGTACGACCCGCCAGAAAGCAGGCAAGGGAATACATGTGGCTTCTACTTTTATACCCCTACAGAGGGAATTATAATTTTGTCGTGAAATATGTAACGCATAGAAAGAGACATCTCCGAATCCAAAAAGTATATATATTCTTGATCAGTATCAACAGCCGAGTCGATATAGCCATGTCCGTCTGTCTGTTTCTATGCAAACTAGTCTCTTAGTTTTAAAGCTGTCTTTATGACACTTTGCAGAAGTCCCTCTTTTTGTTGCACGCAGTACATATGTCAAGACCAGCATATAGCTACCATAGGAACGATCGGTCGAATATTAAGTTGTTGTATCAAAAACATTTTTGTTTACCAAGATACCTGGACCAAACTTGGCATTTATTAGTTTTACTATGCTCCTCATATATATGCAAAATCCTATTATGATCGGACCACTATATCAAATACCTGCCATAGGAACGATCGGTCAAAAATTAAATTGTTGTATGAAAAACATTTTGTCTGCTGTCTGCGGTCTGCTGCAAGTTCGAACCCTACCAAGGGAACCATTTTTTTTATACCCAGAACCCATTAAAAATGGGTAAAAAGGCTATATTGTATTTGTGCAAAATGCAAATGTATGCAACAGGCAGAAGGAAGCATCTCCGACCCCATAAAGTATATATATTCTTGATCAGCATCAATAGCCTAGTTGATCTAGCGATGTCCGTCTGTCTGTCCGTATTTATGCACGCAAGGATCTAAGAACCTATAAGAGCTAGAGATTTGAAATTTTGGATGTAGGTGCTCCTAGTGCCTGCGCAGATCGAGTTTGTTTCCGATAATCGATAACTTTCTCCGTTTCCAAGCAAACGATAAACATCGATATCGATATCCTGTTTTTTGGGCAATTTTGGTAAATAATAAGAGCTAGAGTCACCAAACTTGACATATAGCTTCTAAAAGGGTTCAGGGTATCCCCTAGTCGGGAGCTCCCGACTAGAACCTCTTACTTGTTATTACTGCTAAAGCAAATGAGCGCTTAGCGCGAGTTGGATTTGGTGTTGGAAGAGTGTTTAGGGTATCCCATAACCGGGAACTCCCGACTAGAGCCTCTTACTTGATTAGAGCAGTTTTTCTCGAAAGCTGGATTTTGTGGATCGCTTAATGTGTTAGAAGGCAACGTTGTAGATGTGGGTCGAGCTCAAATCCCTCATGTGTGTATGTTTATATGTAGTGATGTGTGTATGGATTAGTGAACATAAATATTTATTTACGAATTTATTTAATCAAATACGTATGTATGCAAAACATCAGTTGTCGTAATCGAAGCTTATTGCATAACAATATCCGATTTTTGCGGGTAGTAATTGTACTGTTGTGGAAGTATATGTAACATGCAGAAGGGAACGCCATTCTGTTTGTCAGTTCATCCATTTATCTGAACGCGGCGATGTCGGGAAATATAAATGCTGGAGACTCATATGACACGCACAGATCAGATTTGAGTGCAGCGGTATTTTTTGTGATGTTTGTAACGGAAGCTCGTGCCTAGGTCCAGGGTATCTCCTAGTCGGTCACTTCTATCTAGAGCATTCTTGCTTGTTTTGTTCGCACATCGCCCTCTGCTGCTTTACGCACATTTTGCAAGACACTTTTGATGCCGCAAAATTTTAATTGAGTTAATCCTAAAAACCACATGGTGGCTATCGAGCCAGCTGCTAGCCAGGGATACCCAGCCAGGGCTAATTTGCTGCAGGCCAGTCAACCAGGGTAGAGCAAGGCCGGTTGGTGCTGCGTTTAGATGGTGTTGCAAGCGCAAATGTAGCCGTATCGACACAGCTGCAGCAAATGATTATTACTGTTCGCTAGATTAGCTAAGTTGGCTGTGCGGCATTTGATGAGGTACAAGTTGGAGCAGCCATAAAATTCAATGCTACAAATTGAGTCCAACGGACCACTTCGACATTCACATATCACAACTATTCAAAATGAGTGCAACGAGACACCGTGAATTGGAGGAGGATTTCTTGCGCAGGCCCTCAAAAGTAGGTGAAGTTATCAACCTCTTGGACGAAATATCAAAGGGGGGAAAGATGGCGTGAGTTCTAGAGTTAGATAGATCCATAGAAATAATTCTCTGTGCGGATTACAGGAAAGGCAATGTTGATAAGCCCGCGGCTAATATCATTCCGGACGTTACGGACACAAATTTTATTGTAATGCAACGCGGCCAGTTGCACGTTAAAACGAGGAGCAAGCGCAGCTTCATTCAAATTGATATTGCAGCGAATCGCGATCAAATGACGTTTATGCGCCAGATCGATGTCACCCAGGCAGAACGGAATAATGCTCGTAGGGAGCGTATTAGCGTGGCACTCAATTATCGCAGGTAGCCGTGTAATTCTCACATAGCTCACGCATCGATTACACCCTTTAGTCTCTCACAGACTTGGAAATGCCGAGTTTCGGAAACCCAACTTTGATAATGCTATTGAGTTTTACACCAAGGGACTGGAATATATAGTCGATTCGAAAGTTCTCTTTGTCAATCGCAGTTTGTGCTACATTAAGTTAGTGCTTGCAAATCCCAAATTTAAACAAATTGTAAAAGGTCGCAACTATTTATAGAAAACGTGATTACCAACGGGCCCTAATTGATCTAGACTATGTCTTACTCAATTTGGATGGACGCTGTTTGCGTGCTTGGCTCTATAGAGCCGGGGCTCTAAAGCGCATGAACAATGAGGCTGGCTATCTGGAATGCATTGATAATGCGCGTAGATACAATCATAGCGAGGAACAATATATTGAATATTTTATAGAAAAAATTAAATCTGGGTTCTGATTGTATACATTTTATAAGATTTATTGACCAAAAATGTATAAATAGAATCTGTTAACCAAAAATGTTCTAAAGCTTTTGGTATGTTTTGCTTGTCAAATAAACTAGTTTCAAAAAAGTAAGAGGCTCAAGTCGGGAACTCCCGACTAGGAAATACCCTGAACCCTCTTCTACCAACACCAAATTCGCTCAGTTGCTTTAGCAGTAATAATAATAAAAATACATACATCTAAAAAAAAGCTTTCTCGATAGTTCTCGAACTCGTAACAGAACACACTATTTTCAAACGCCTCTACTCAAAATGATTCTTACTGAGAAAAAAAAAACGGATTCAAATAGCAGCATAGAAAACAATACATACGCAATTGCCATGCTGTTGATAGAATTCAATAAATGCGCGCATGAATGTGTGTGTGTTCATGTTACAGAAATTCTTGGAATTTGCGCTTGCTGCTGCTTACACGTGTGCAGCCAAAACAAATAACTTTTGTGTTTCTTAACCGATCTTCGTGAAATTTTCTACAGTACATCCTGTTGAGCCATAGAATATTTGTGTGTTCTCAATAGTCAATTGGATTTAAATTGTGGCTTTAATTGGTGGGCAATACAAGTTGGCTTATTAACTTGATTTATAGCTATGTACATATATGGCGGTAGCGAGGAGAGAAAGATAGGTATGTTATACCTTTAAGATGTTTGAGATATGTATATGTATATAATATTCTAGAAGCAATATACCAAGTTTGGTGACTAGCTCTTAATGTTTACCCAATTCGATTGCTTGAAAACGGAGTAAGTTATCGATTATCGGAAGCAATCTAGTACTACACATGGACTAGGAGGACCTAGCGCTAAACTTTTAAGTTGTTACACATAATTAACTAGGTAAAAAAAAAAACGAGTTAAAATAACTAAACGTAAGCTCTTTAAGTTTTCAATGCAATATTTACCAGCTAGACGTATGTATGTACTTACTGTATGACAGGCATCTAGCTCAAGCTACAACCGCAAATAACAGCGGGATATTGTTATACATTGAACCCATTGAAAATGGGTAAAACGGGTATTATGTATTTGTGCAAATGTACGTAACAGGCAGAAGGAAGTATTTTCAACCCCATAAAGTATATATATTCTTGATCAGCATCAACAGCCGAGTCGATCTAGCCATGCCCGTCTGTCTATCCGTCCGTCCGTACACAGAAAGAAAAACGGTGGGCTAATGACAAGACTTTTCGTACTTGATTTTATACCAAAAAATTCGTTACGTTTTGATCCCGAATCGAGCTAAAAATTCTTGATTTAAGTATAATTCGTAATTAATTTCAGATAAGCTCAGAAAGGTCTTAGAATAAGTACTAATACTCTTGAATAAAGTACAAAAAAGTTATTTTAAGAAGTAATTGTACTTAACGTAGCTTTACAAAATCAAGAATAATAAAAGTTAATTCAAGATTTTAAAATATTGAAAAGCTAGAGAGAGCAAAAAAAAAAATGAGAGAGAAATTGAGAGAGTGGCATTTCAAGTGAAGGGCTCTACCAGTGCAAACGTACAAATGTACGCGGAAAAGAATGCGACAGTGCTGGACAAAAGGCATCGGGAGCTTCTATAGCTGTTTGGTTTGGAACACCTGGTTCCTTAGAGGGTATTTAAGTACAATTATACATACGTACACATGTATGAAATATTTATGTACATAGATAATACACACGAGTATATATATACATATATATTCATACATATATATACATACATATGTATCATATGTACATATGTATGTATGTATGAATTTTGTAAGTGACACGGCGTCGTCTCGACGGCGGCGTCTTTGCTATTTTCTAGCAAGATCAATTTCGTCACTTTTCGCCGTCGTTGAGAAGACGCCGTGCGCTTGCAAGAATTAGGTACATATGCACATACATATGTGTATGTTTGTATGGATGCGACGGTGTGTGTGTATATTTATGCAAGTAGATCGGCGTCGATTCTCATGCTTTTCTATGTGCACACACACATACATACATACATATTTACGCATTACTTTGTCCGCTTTGATCATATTCTTGTTTTTGGTGGAAAAGTAATTTCGTCATTAATGTGTGTATGTGTAAGCATTAAAAGAGACATCTTCGACTGATATATGTACATATGTATGTATGTGTGAATGAATTGTTATAGTTTTGCAATTTAATGCATATGTATGTAATAACATTTTTACATTTATCATAGTTTGGAATAGATGATGGAACATTAAGCTTCATGCCATCAAATTTATCGAAACGACTAGACTCGACGCCAGAAGTTGATTAAACAAGGTAAGAAATCCATTTCCATTATTTTAACAAATTATATATTTTCTTTTCTTTTTAGTGTTTGTAATATTAAGGCATAACTTGTGAACAACTAATATTAAATAATAAAAAAAGTACACTTTGGTTTTAATATTAGTATGGGAGTTCTTGGTTCATGACTGATTGGGTCTTGTTCCAAGAATAAATTAATCTTCTACCAATTTTAATGTATGCTTGAAATATGATCACAAAATCTTGTATTAATACTAAATGAGGTTAATTAAAGTATTTTGGGTCATAAATTTAGTATGGATTAAGTTCGTGAGCTCTTGAATAAAGATTTATACAAGCTTGTTTTTAGCTCAAACTGGCATTGTATTAAGAACATATTGGTCTTCAGCACAATTAGGCTGAAAAACCTACCAAACAATGCTTGATTCAAGTATTTTCGTTCTTTAAAATTAATACTTGAATTCATACTTGAATCAAGTATTACAGGTCCTACCGTACTTTTATGACCGGGTTGACTTGATTCGATTACGAAATTCTTGATTTTTATACCCTGAACCCATTGAAAATGGGTAAAAAGGGTATATTGTATTTTCTTTCTGTGTATGTATGAACGCAAGGATATCTGAACCTATAAGAGCTTGAGACTTGAAATTTTAGCTGTAGGTCCTCCTAGTGCCCACGCAGATCTAGTTTATTTCTAATAATCGATAACTTGCCGCATTTCCAAGTAATCGATATGAATCGATATTGAAATCCTGTTTTTTGGGAAAATTGGGTAAACATTAAGAGCTAGAGTCACCAAACATGATATGTTGCTCCTAGAATATTATATATAAGTATATCAAGTATCTTCTATTTTATACCTATCTCAACCTCCCCGCTACCACCCAAGAGCTATAAATCATGTTACCCAACTTATATTGCCCACCAGTTTAAGCCACAATTTTAATGCAATTGACTCTTTGATAATACACAAATATTCTATGGTAGAATAAGGCATACTGTAGAAAATTTCATTTAGATCGGTTAAGAAAAAACCAAAGTTATGTTTTGCTACACAATTGGATGGGTCACAAATATCAAGGATTTCTGTATATACATATGTAAACACACACATTCATGCGCGTGAGCTTCGCATTCTATCAACAGCATTGCAATTGCGATTGTTTTAATTCGTTTTTTTCTCAACAATACACGATTATTGGTGTGACTGTTGAGTAGGGGCATAGCAACTGATGCGGTCTGTCGCGAGTTCGAGCCCTACCGGTGAAACTGTGTTTGTTTTTATTTTTGGCTGGTGTGACTGTTAGGTAGAGTCGTCAGAAAGTAATGCGGTCAGTTGCGAGTTCGAACTCTACTAAGGGAACATTTTTTATACCCTGAACCCATTAAAAATGGGTATAAGGGTATATTGTATTAGTGCGAAAGCCAAATGTATGTAACAGGCAGAACGAAGCTTCTCCGACCCCATAAAGTATATACATATATTCTTGATCAGCATCAAGCCGAGTCGATCTAGTCATGTCCGTCTGTCTGTCCGTCCGTCCGTATGTATGAACGCAAGGATCTCAGAACCTATAAGTGCTAAAGACTTGAAATTGTAGATGTAGGTGCTCCTAGTTCCTGCGCAGATCGAGTTTGTTTCCGATAATCGATAACTTACTCCGTCTCCAAGCAATCGATAAAAATCGATATCGATATCCTGTTTTTGGGCAATTTTGGTAAATAATAAGAGGTACGGTCACCAAACTTGACATGTAGCTTCTAAAATAGAATATATATGTTCATTTTATGTTGGAAGAAGAAGGTTCAGGGTATCCCCTAGTCGGGAGCTGCCGACTAGAACCTGTTACTTGTTTAAATTTATCTCGATTACTTCAAACGAGCGCGTTGCACGAACTGCATTTGTTGTTTGAATAAGAGAGTTTAGAGTATTTCCTAGTCGTTAGCTCCCGCCTAGAACCTCTTACTTGTTATTGTTGCTGTTGGCTGAATAAGCCAAGTTGGCTGTGAGGTAGTCAACAAGTCGTGTAAACTTTTAGTATAGAAACTGAATTAAACAAACAACACCAATAACAACATCACACAAATACATAAGCACGAATACTTAAATATAAATACTTAAACACCAAAACAAAAATACTTAATTACGTTAACACAATGCCGACCGCGACGCACCGAGAGTTAGAAGAGAACTTCTTACGTACACCTTCAAAGGTGGACGATATCATGAAGTTCTTAATTGACATGAGCAATGCTAAAAGAACGGAGTAAGTTCTAGAGATTGTGACACTTTTAAAGAGTACAGACCTTGATTCTTGCTACCTAGTGCCAAGGACAACGATCCCGAAGTGGAAACTAACTATAGTGCGGGTATCACAGATGACAATTTTATGGTTTTGTCGCGAAGCTCGCGCTTTGCAAAGAAAAACAAGCTAACGTTCAGAAAGAGTTCTATAGGATCAACCATGAATCAATTGAGCTTCATGCGCCAGATCGATGTCAGCAGCGAGGACCGGATTAAGGCACGTGAGGAGCGTATACGCGTTGCATCCAATTATCGCAGGTAGCTTTATAAAATTCTTAAGTCTCACGCATCCATTAAGACGATATTAGTTTGAGCATAGGCTTGGCAATTTGGAGTATCGTAAGGTAAACTTTGACAAAGCGATTGAGCACTATTCCAAGGGCTTGGAATATATACCTGATTCGGCTGTGCTCTTTGTAAATCGCAGCCTGTGTTACATCAAGTGAGTATTGCTGGCCACTGACGAAGTCAGTCCATTTATCCAACCAACTGCAACTGTAAACAGGAAACGTGAGTTTAAGCGGGCCCTAATAGATCTTGATTATGTCATTTTGAAATTGGATGGACGCTGTTTGCGTGCCTGGCTCTATAGGGCCGGTGCCCTGAAGCGCATGAACAATGAGGCTGGCTATCTGGACTGCATTGATAATGCGCGTAGATTCAATCATAGCGAGGAACAATATATTGAGTATTTTATTGATAAAATGCGTACGGATCTTTAATATTCAGTAAAGTTCAATCAAACAACATGAAAATAGTGAATAAAAAAATATTTAAAGTAATTGGGCTCTGCTTTGAATGGGTTCTATATTGATATTTTCATTTTTATACCCTGAACCCATTTAAAATGGGAAAAATGGGTATGTTTTTGTGTTAATGTAAATGTATGTAACAGGCAAAAAAAAGCGTCTCCGACCTCATAAAGTATACATATTATTGATCAGCATCAACAGCCGAGTCGATAGTGCCATGTCCGTCTGTCCGTCTGTCTGTTTCTATGCGAACTAGTGTCTCAGTTTTAAAGCTATCTTAATAAAATTTTGCAGAAGTCCCTCTTTCTGTTGCACGTAGCACATATGTCAAAACCAGCTGTATCGGACCACTATATCATATAGCTGCCATAGGAACGATTGATTCTTACACCTTGAACCCATTGAAAATGGCTAAAAAGAGTATACAGGTTTTGTGCAAATGTATGCAACAGGCAGAGGGCGGTAAAGTATATTTATTGATATTTGTACCATATATTCGCCCATAACATACCCAAAATGATATTACGCCCATCTCCGAAAAACCGATAAAAATCGAATTTGTGAATTACTTTTTTAAGAATATCTAATAAATTGAATGAGTTTGATTCCCGAAAGTTGGTATTCGCATAGACTATAAATATTCCACTCTTTGTATGCGAACCTTCAGCTAGAACCAAAAAATTAAAACAAAATATATTTAAGCATCTGCCGTTTTCTGGAGTTCCACATTTCGGTACCACATTTATGCTTAGAAAATTGTATAAAAGTCGGACTCTAAGCACCGACGCTCAGAATAAGTTTTTCATAGTGTGGAGTTAGCTAACAACCGGAGCGTAAACTCTGTATTAAGTGAGTATATATGTCTAATAAAATGTGTGAATGTTTTAAAAGGCAACTCGGCGTGGGATTGAGCGTATCTGCTAGTCGAGCACTCCAGGGTATAGTAGTATAGTACGAACATTAAGGAATAAATGTGTATTTCAACTCTTATGAATTTACTGCCTTACAGAACTTTACAATACACGCTCATAAGCAAAGCATACTGCAAAACAATTTAAAAGAAATAGAAAAAGTATAAAAATACTTGCACAACAAAATTTGCAATTTTTGCATAAATTCAATAAAAATTCCTATTGTCATGAGAATATTTGTCAATACAATATACATAGTACATACTCGCACTGGGCGATACAAGCAGCTACTAGTGGCCGGTGCTCTGTGCCCGCTTTGGTAACCATGAAACCCAGAGCTCCCGAATGCCTGCGCTCCCAACCCAACTGGCTCCCGTTCCCATTGACTTCAATTCCAGCTACGATAAGGGCCACTTATACGCTTCGTTTGGAGCACGCTTCCCCACAAAAGACTGACGCTGCGGTTAGGTAAAGTGGGAATTGGTGGCCTGGTGGTCTGTGTGGCGGGGTGGCGGGGTGACAGCCACACAGTTTTCAATATGGCGCCAACAGAATTTGCATTTGCTGTGGCTAAGCCAGGCAGTATTGTACCATAATGAAATGCAGTTCAAATGCTTTGGGTATAAACTTTTGTCACAACTGGCAACACAAGGCGTGGCAAGGCGTGCTTTGGGGGTTGTTGATTTGTTGTCGTTGTTGCGTTGTAAACTGTGGAAAACAAACGCAACGGAAGTGCCACAAAAAGGGTTTCACAGTTTGTCAATTGTATGCGGCCGCCGAGTCGACACCTAAAGACCGCAGCACCAGCCCAGCCCCCCCGCACGGCATTCTCTTTGCCAAGCTTTGGAATTTCCCATGACACTACTGACACGCTGCCCTGGCTCTGGTCACACTGACTACAGTAGTCTGTTGGCTTTGCATCTAAGAAATGCAAAAATCCTTGTGGGTTAAACTCTAATCAACAGCAAAGGCAACGGCAATGGCAACGGCAACTGCAATGTGGCTATTGCCACGCCCACGCCTACGCTTGTAATCAATGCTGTAAACACTTATTTTTGTGGTTGCAACAACAACGACAACAACAACAATTGCCGCCGCCTGCCGGCATCCAATTTTGTGGCACACTCAAAGTTTGTCGCACGCTCCAACATTGTCCTGGCCCTGGCCTATCTACTACTCGTGGTCCTGGTTGTCATGCCACTGGCTGTTGTTGTCAGTACTTTGCGCTTTTTGCAAGCAGACAAGGCTCAGGGTCGGTTTTTGGATTTTCGTGCAGCAATATTGCGACATTTTATATGTGTGACACTAGGCAAACCGACAACCTGCAGTTTTAAGGTAGTCCTGCGACTAGGTTTGCGGTTGTCCCAGATACAGACAATAATGCTGTTCACACAAATGTTGAATGCCTATTGAAGAATTCAAATCATTATAAGCCACGCTCTTCACAGAGTCAGATACTTTTAATTGTCAGCCATACTATTTTGAGCTTGAAGCTTTACGGTAAAAAGCTTTGAATCTACGGATGTCATAGTTGCTTAATAGTGAGAATTGTAACTTGAATTTAAAACGGAGTTTTGATACTTCTTAATGAAATTGCTATTTTAAAAGCTTTTAAAAAAAATAATGTAGTCAAAAGCTGTTAAAAGCTGTTTAAAAAATAGATTATTACCAATTCTTGTGCAGAAATTTCAAAGAAACTATTTGTTTACAATGAAACAATTTTACTATGCTTCAGAGAATGCTCTTAAAAAAACCCTACTTAAACTAACACTTGTTCGGGGAACACAAGAACACCCTTAACAAATAACATAATGCACAAAACTGCTTGGCAGTTTCCTATGTTGCTTACTCACGTGAAATATTAGTACAACGACCCTAGAGAAATTCCCTGGCTCAACCCTAAACTTTATGGCTTCAAGCCAATGTCAACAAACAGTTTCATAAATCAGGCTGCGCTTGATCTCCGTTAACCGAAATTTCTTTCTGCTGCCAGCCTCAATTCTCAAGAGGATCACTATAAACCCATTTTCAACACGCATTCAAACTCTATTTTAGCATCTCAGTTGCCTTGACTCTCATCCTCTGTCCTGCGAATGCTGTCTCCCCTTGCCCTGCTCATCTGGCTGACTGTCCAGCGCTGTGTTTAGTTTTCAGCTTGCGGCTCGTGGTTTTTGGCTTCTCGGCAGCTTCTTGGCCAAAAAGTAATTTGCCCTTTATCTGTGCTGCGGTTTAAGCATCCAAGCAAGAACCGAATCAACCACTCGGTTGCAATGGGAAGTTGTGTTGGGTACAGAAAGTTCTCGGGTCGAGTCTGAGCATGTATGGGGTACATGGTCTTTGTTACGTTATGCCTGTTTCTGCTTGTTTAGCATCTTTTATTTTCCATACCCTGTGCACATAAACTGCTGAATAACGAGCCAGCATGTGCTTTTGACCAAAGTAAGCGAGAGAGACAATACGTTCGATAACATGCCAAAGCATTTTACTAGAATGCATCTATGTTTTTCAATCGGATTGTAGAATGTGAAAAATCAAGCACAGAAACCGTAGCCAGGGGAAGGGAGATGGTTCGAATCAGCTACAATATTTGCGTTGATTTATAACCAGTTAACTACAAAAAATCGAATTATTTATTCACGAGCTCCCTTTAATATATACATATAGTATATGTTTTTATTTTTCTAATATTTTAATATGATTTTCAGATTTTGAATCATTTACCACACTAATATTGTACAGAGACAATCTAAATCTAAATCGAGAAACGAGTCCAACGCACCATTACACTCGCGCGTATATTTGGCGGGCCAGTCGCGTCGAAAATTGGTGCAAACTTTTCTGGAAACTTATTCTTGAGACAGCTGATCACTGTGCCAGTCAGATAGTAGCGTGAAAGCCAACGGCACTCACACGGCGGTATACAGTGTACGCATTGTTTCTCAGTGGCCATCCAGGCGCTGTGTGTGATCCCCTTGCCCGGATTCAGGTAGCTCAGACGCCAGGGTAACAATGTATCCCGCTCTGTCCACCAGCATTCGCAAGGCGGTAGACACGTACGACAATGATTGTTATCGAAGCCAGATTCCGATGTGGTCTGACTTGTACTCTTTTCTGGGGTCTCCTTGCACGTGTACAACTTATAGCGCGGCACGAGTGCAATCAGCTCGCTGTACTTGCGTTCACGTTCCCGACGTAGCCACATATCGAGCATATCCCAATGATCCAGATATGGAGAACGTTCCCGTATGAGTTGCATGCGTCTATACAAATCCGAGCGACGAACTGCATCATAGTTGAGGCCCGTCTGCGTGTGCCACAGCAAATAGAGCTCGTTGGGTTTCTCATCCGGCAGCGAAATACTGTGCGAGAATTTCGTCAGCTCAAAGTGAAACAACATGCGAATGCCATAGGTAATGTGCTTTATGTGATCAAAATCCTTGATATTCATTGCCGACAACGCATCAGCGTCCAGTAACAACAGCTTTCTACCCCAGATCATATTCACACGAAATGTGTTCTGTGGATTTCACGAGTACGTAATTGAGGATTTCTCATATACTGCAAGAGACTCACCATGTACTGTGGATACCCATAGCGGGTTATCCATAGTCGTATATCCATATCGTTCCATTCAAAGACCGAGGGCAACGGCAGCTTATCGGCCACATTAACACATAGCTCGACGAGGCTTGCAGGAGTGGCTCGGAACGGTAGGGGCCATTCCTCACGACCGAACTGGACTCGACGTGTTAGCAAAGTGTTATATTGAAATTTGTTTAGAACAGGGCTGCTTCTTTCGGTGTCTTCCTTGAACCTATACTTTGTGTCCGTTACGCCATATAGATAGGGCATATTAGCTATGCTCCTAAGCTCCTAAGAAAAGTACTAGAAAAAAACTGCACGCTTCCAGTATAGGGTGTTTTTGTGTGTATTTATGTAGACTTGACTTTTAGTGGGAAGCTTACTGACTGAAACATGTACGACATTCAAACACATATGTATGTATATATTTGCTGTTATTGCATACCTAAAAATAATTGGAACAGCATTAAACACATACGTACATATATTATTAAACAGCATGAGCAAGCGACACCATT